TTTTGAAAAATGAGAAGTGTTGCCTTGGCAACTAGATGAAATATTTTTTTTATACATTTTATTTCAGCTAATTAAGTTTTTTAAATAACTAAGGTTTTATGATGTTATAATAATCCTGCGAGTAATGCCCTTATTTATATTTACTAATATTACATCACGATTATAATTTAATATAATATTATTGTATTTTATTACATAATAGTATAGGTAGTCTATAGTAATTATAATAATTATTATATTTGATTATATTTTGATAATAGTTTTATAAAAAACTAATTATGAATTCATTTCCAAATAAGAATATTGCTGAATGTCCCTAATGGCAGGTTGTCGTCGAATTTGTCTTCAACCTACAGCTAAGTAAATGCACCCACACACGCGCAAATTACAAGGCGATCACACACTAAAGAAAAACAAAACGCACAAATGCACGTACAAGCACAGGATCACATGAGACATTCAGGACAAAGCCAAACGGCAACCGAGATGCATGGCGCAAACACATCTGTCCAAACCCAGTCAGACAGGTCCATTAGGATGAAACATTAACGTGGCCGTACATCCGTGTTTGGGGGGGGCTACAAAGAGCAAAATTTGAACATGCCTGTGGACTTAACATGTTAGGAGAAGATTACAGAAAACTTTCAACATACTCTGTGGTCTCACATTTTGATCGTATTCATTATAGCGAAGCATAAAACAGCCTTTAGTGCCACACAAGTATGTGAGAGCTTAAAAACTACAGCTCCAGTACCCGCCATCACATGCTCAACAAATACCAAGCTCTCTCTCCCTGGGGGCCACACTATCTAGAGGGAATAACCACTGCTATTGTGAGGGAGCTTGGCAAAGTGCTGAACACCCAGCCACTATATCCGTGCGATCTGAGAGCAGTCAGCACTGCTGTGGATAACTAGGGCTGGGACTCATAAGGGTTTTACGGATTCTGGTTCTGATACCAATTCAGCTGGAGCCTATTTGAGGAGCATTTCTGTAAAAGCTGATTAACTCAATGGCTGGTTAACTCATCTACGCCATATGACCGCAGAGTAGCTTATATCAACAAATACAGCATGGCTATACCTAGCTAACATACTAAACCAAGTCTTGCAATAAAATGACTGGCACAACGAATGCTCAAATTCGAATTGGTGAAGGTTTGCCTCGGGAATATTAATTAGGATCCGTGACAGGATACTTTAAGGCTAGAAGCATGACCTACATAATATTCATTGGCTAAGGCTT